TTAAGAACAATCCAACTTAAGAACAGCTCCATTTGCTAAATTTTGCTTCTACTTGAGAACAGAAATCCAAGATAAGAACAGGAAAAAAAACCTTTCCTGCTCTTTTTTTAACCTTAGGTCATCTTAGGTTAAAAAAAATTCTCCCCCTAGTGGTAGAGTACGTATTAACCAGCTTTGCATTAGTTCCTATGGGAACTAATGCTTCAATGTACGAACGCACCTCTACATAACAAAAAAACAGCCAGAACGGATTAATTGGTTTTCAGTCCATTCCTATGGGAAATTTTGCTTCAACTTAAGAACGTTTCAACTTAAGAACACCATTCCAAAACGGATTAAGTTCTTAAGTAGAGGTTCCACTGTAGTTTCTATGGACGGAAAAGAGCAGATACGGATTAAATGGTTTTCAATGCATTCCTATGGGAAATGCACATTCAACATAAGAACTTTTCAACTTGAGAACCACCTTCCAATACGGATTAAGTTCTTAAGTAGAGACCCCACTGTATAATTCCTCTGTGTATTCTTGCCACCTCTTCTTGATGACTTCTGCTTTTGTGAGGTCTCTACCATTTTTGTCCTTTATCATGTCCATCTTTGCACAAAATGTTCCTTTCATATCTCCAATTTTCTTGAACAGATCTCTGGTTTTACCCTTTCTATTATTTTCCTCTATATCTTTGCACTGTTCATTTAAGAAAGCCCTCTTGTCTCTCCTTGCTATTCTTTGGAAGTCTGCATTCAGTTTTCTGTAACTTTCCCTATCTCCCTTGCATTTTGTCTCCCTTCTCTTCTCTGCTATTTGTAAGGCCTTGTTGGACAGCCACTTTGCTTTCTTGCATTTCCTTTTCTTTGGGATGGTTTTTGTTGCTTCCTCCTGTACAATGTTACGAGCCTCTATCCAAAATTCTTCAGGCACTCTCTCCACCAAATCTAGTTCCTTAAATCTGTTTTTCACTTCCACTATGTATTCATAAGGGATTTGGTTTAGATTATACCTGACTAGCCTAGTGGTTTTTTCCTACATTCTTCAGTTTAAGCTTGACTTTTACTATAAGAAGCTGATGATCAGAGCCACAATCAGCTCTAGGTCTTGTTTTTGCTGACTGTTTCTCAATCTTTGGCTTCAGAGAATATAATCAATCTGATTACAGTATTGCTCATCTGTTGATGTCCATGTGTAGAATCACCTCTTGTGTTGTTGAAAAAGAGTGTTTGTGATGACCAGCTTATTCTCTTGCCAACACTCTTGCCTAGAAAATAGATTTGTTTAATGTACCATTTGTGTTGCTATATGTGCTCGTTTTCTGTCTCAAAGTTCCCATAAACTGTCAGAGGTAAGCTAAATAGCAAGGCTTAGTCCAAATAATTACAACTGTTCATCAGAGAGGTAGCTTTTTGTTAGGTCTTTGGCATCTGCTCTCTATCTGTAGCAGAAGACAGCCTCATTTCTAGGAAATTGGGAGCCTTAAAGAAACCTTTGATCTTTTAAAAGTGTGTAGCAAATGCTTCTTTGAAAGAAAACAAATGGATTGGCCTGTCCTTTTACAACTCTTGTATCTGACTTCTGAGGTCAAACTTCTTGTTCTGATAATTCTTTCTGTAGAATACAAAGAACTGACTTTCTGCTTGGAATTGTCTCAGATCTCTAGAGGTCATGGATCCCAGCATGTTTTGTAGCTTGGTTTACTTTGTGGTTTATTCAGGTACTCGTCTATTTATGTGCTCTGCTGAATTTTATAGATGTTAACTGGTTCAATGATTGCAGTCTACCAGATTTATTCAGAGTTTTCTTTAACTAGTTCTATTGCTTCTCAAGTATATGCCATCATAAGTTTAATTATGAAGGCCACCCTTTAATCAAAACATTTGTTAAGTAAACTTGCTTACTTATGGTGGCTCAGGAGGGCCACCATAAAAGACACTTTCGGGAGATTGCTGAATTTATTGGCAAACTGCCAGATTCACTGGTTAACAAAAATTCAGGGTTTGAAATGGTGGTCATAAACAGTTTCTTTTATCTGCTGTAGATTTTCTGAAGTCAGTTGTCTTCACCAAAATTCATAAACAAAATTCATAAAACTGGTGTAGATTTTCTGAAGTCAGTTGTCTTCACTACTGATTTTTCAGTGAATGAAATTAATCAGAAGCAACACTAATAAGTACACCAAGTATGGATTAAAGCTAATCCCCAGAAACCAGTGTTGTCTAGAGGTCTGAGGTTTGGAATTGCACATAGGAGATCCAGGTTCAAGTTCCCAGTGAACCATACAACTCACTAAGTGACCATTGGCCACTCATAGTCACTCAGCCTGACTTGTACCTGACTTGTAGAACTGTTGTGAAGAAAAGGGGAGCAATGTGTGTCACCTTGAGCTCATTATTGATAAATGCAGACAAATGACTAGCAGTTTCAGTGCCTGAGGCTTTGCTGCCCTATTACTTAAACCTGGGCCATGTGAGATTGATACGCATGGGGACAGGACAGAGACATATCCCCAGGAACATGATGCTGGATGTTCACTGGTGCTGCCTGTTTTGTCTTTTCTACTGCTCAGGGAAGAGTGGCTGTAGGTACTATATGTGCCTACAAGACTAGCAGATTTGTACTTTTTTAGTAGTAAAAGCCAACAGGTGGAATTGTACTCTTCTGTGAGCGGCCGCAGTCACTGTATCCATGATGAGGCAGCAGGTACTGGTGATCAGTTAAGCTTTATTGGACTCAGCATATAAAGGAAAGGAAAGAAAGGAAAAACAGTGTATCTGTAATCCTTTGCAGGATGAGGCCTCTAGCCCCAAGCAGCAGGGATGGCATTAGTAGCTTTCTATTATTCCAGCCCTTCCAGGATTGAGGGAATATCCATCCCTGGCCCCACCTCCGAGGGAGTTACTCCACTCCCGTGGCAGCTCGTCCTGGCTGAAAGGTCCAGGCTATTAAACAGTCTTTGCCAGCCAAGTCCCGCAGCATGATGTCCAGCAAGCAGAGGAGGCTGTGCAGCACCTACAGTCCCTGGGAGCTTCTTTCTTTCAACTTTCAGGTTGCCTTCAGATAAGCCACCTGTCCTCCGGAGATACTGGCCTCTTAGAAACTCCTTTCGGCATCTCCCCCGGCAAACTATTTTCTCTCTACTCCAAAGGTAACAGAAACTCCCAGGCATCCTCCCAAATGTCCAGTTTCTCCTCCTCCTCTCCTTGCTCACTTGCCTCTATATCTACCTCAGCTACAGCTGTTTCTCTGGGGGTGGGTTTAGGGCCTCCACCCTCATCTGCCTCAGGTGTTTCCTTCAAGGCCCTTCTGCTGTCGCTGAGGGGACCTGCCCACGCTGGCACTTAGCTCCTTCCCCTCAGCCGGCTGTAGCTGGCTTACAGGCTAAGGTGGCTTTAGCTTGGTCCCAATTCATGTGAGCTCCTGAGTCCATCACTGTATAGAACACCCCTCCCTGCTAGCAGATAATGAAATGGAAGGAACCGGACTTCAAGGAACAGGAGTATCACATGATAAATGTAATCACCACGTGCATCTGCTTGTCTCCTTCCTGCCCCAACTTCTTTCTCACACCCTTTATCTTTTCCTCGACTTTCCCTTCCTTCCTATTGTCTTCTGCTCTCTATTTCTTGTATTTCTCCATTCAGTACTTTGGAAAGTGCTGGACAGATGCTGTCATTTCATGAAAATGAAGTCATGGCAGGATTAGCGGTCTGGATTTTTCTTAGAATTCCTGCAATCTGAGTATAAAGGGGAGAAGAAGACCAGTGAGTCCCATGGTACTGCCTTATAGTGTTGATTTTCTACCCCATAATAAATTATCATATGTAAAGTGTTGACTGATTTTTTTTTCTACATAAAATTCTTGTAGTCGTCCCCCTGAGTAACACAGTGGATTGTTTGGAGTTTCAAACAGGTCCCAGAACAATGGGGGAATAGATATTTGGCTAAATTCCCTTAAGTGTCTTTTTTCTTGAGCTGTGTTTTCAAATCATGGAAAACTCATTTTAAGTTTTTACTTAGAAGGCTTTCATTTCTCCTTTGAGCTTTCCTGGAACATATTTATGAAGGGAATACACTTTGGTCCTTCTCCATATTTCTGACAAAGCAAAAAGGAAGGAATAGCAAGGGGAATGTCCTCATTTCTTTTCTAGCTGTATCATTTCTTTTCCCAAGTTTTGTTATCCTTAAGAAGAGAACAGGAAGTAAGGATGTGCTACCTTCAGAAAAGGCTTCACCAAATTCTTCTGAACTGTTGACTGGAACCTTATCTTGCTCTATTCCCCTATTACTCTCTATATAAACAGATAACACTGTTCTGTTGTTTCAGGGGTCAAATTATAGTTGAAGGGAAACCAACCTTCCTTCCTTTTTTTATCATCATGCCTGGATGCCTCAATGAAAGGAACAGTGATTTGTGACACCAATTTCATGGACATGTGCTATAAAGCAAATGTGGGCTTTAGCTTTTACACTTTATAGGAGTCATTCGTGATGCTGAATCTATGTGATGGGATAGGTTCAGCAGCTTGTGCAGCTTCTGTAAAGTGCAGATTAAACCCCAGAATGGATTCATGGTCACCTTGAAACTGGGACAGTCAGTCACCACTGCTTTGAGGTTTTCCCATTCATGAGAATGGAATGGACAGAAGGGACGGGAGAAGGAAATGGAGGCCAGGACTCAGAACAGTCAATAGACTTTGGTTCCTCTGTTCTGTCTTGATGTGAAATCTCCTGATGACATTTTTTTCTACTCATAGGCATCCTTCAGTCTCGAGAGACTATGGTAGCGTGCTCTGTATGGAGGACTTGGAACAGCGTCTAGTGTTTTGATGCTGTACGTGAAGCTGGAGTGTCCTCTCCAGAGCACGAAGCGTGGGTAAAATAATATGGAGGCAGTGTAAATTCATACATCTATTGATGGGTTAAGTTTGTATGAGTTGATTCATGCAGAGTGTAGTGGGTGTTGATTAGGAGATGGTGAGGAGGAGCCCCAGTGATGAAGCACCTCAGCTCTCACAAAGTGTTGAGGCAGAAGGAAGTGAAACCCTCACACGAGTTCAGCTCCTGTGGAAAGAGCAGGTAAGTGCTACCCATTTATTTAATCATTTGGTCTGTTAGCTGTACACACCTCATTGAAAGTAATGCAGTGCTGAGAAGCAACATCTGCATTTGGGTGCACAACTGAATGCCCAGTTCAGTGTAGATGCCATTCCTCTTTATTGCACTTTCAGTTGAAGGCATGGCAGTCACAAACTGCTTTCATTACTTTCAATAAACACTTTTGCTTCCTATGTTGTGGGGGGTGACAGCATGGTTGTACTGGCAAGTGGGGTATCTTTTCTTTGCAGCCTTAGGGGATTGGAATAAACAGGGGAGCAAAGAGGAATAAAGTACAAAAGTAGGAGAGTCTTTGTGGAAGGGTATTTTTGTACCCTTCACACTTTGCAGCAAATATTACACCTCAGGAAAATTTGGCACAGCCCTACTTTGTTCCAGGTGCAGTTAATTAAACTTGAGATTTCCAATTAAAATCAAGATGAAATGAATAATTTGTGTCCTAGGTTCTTTTCAAATAGATTTAGGAATAAAGACCAAATTTAAGTGCTTAATGTGTGTCATACGTATTATGAACTGAAACAATGACTTCGGGTATTTTGAAGCATTTGAGTTTTACCTTTCTTTCAAATGGCGAGCATAAAATGATTTTGTGAAGCCTTAAAGTAAAATACAGTATCTTTAGAATATGAGCTCTTCCCAAAGTTATAAAGAAGAACTTATGAGCATGATTCTACAGTTCTCTGTTTTATATTTTAAAATACGGTTTATAATTCTGACAAAATAGCATGATTCAGCTCTGATAAAATACTAAAGGATACAAATTTTTCTTTCCCCATTTCCAGCCAGAATAATTGAGAGAACTCTGAAAACTTACTCAAAACTTAGAAATGCCACAGCCTGAAGGATAGTGGAGAGGGAAGTGAGGGCAGAAACATCACAGGTATGTGGCTGATCACTGCAGGGTTAAAACAAACCCCTCCTCCATTCTCTCACCTTGTCTTCATCTATTGTTGGTTGTCTGAGAGGAGGATCAGCCCCTTGTGTGTAGGTTTCTCTGACCTACATTTTATGATCAGGTTGCCTGGCTTGTGTTGTCGATGTGTGGTACAGACAGTACAGAAGTGAAGAGAGCAGAAAGAACCATCTCTCCTTGGCCACACGGTGGAGCATCACTGAAAGAAATCCTTGGTATATTTTTAACTCATTGAGGTTCCTGTCTCCCTAATTCGAAAACATTACGAGAAAGAGGGAAAGAAAAGAAATAACACAGGGGAGGCTTTCAAAAGTGCCCTTGTATGAGTATGTGTGTGTTTGCTATGTGTGTGCCTCTCTGCATATGAGATTTTTTCCCTCTGCTGATCTTGCAATGCTTAGCCAGGCACTTGGAGGAGATTTGGAAGGAGCCTTATTAAGATGACCGTGCCTAGCAGCAGTCCCAGTTGCAGTGGAGACATTCACAGTGTCTGGTGTAGCAGCGGCGGCGGCAGCATCAGCAGCAACAGCAACCACCGCTATGGGCACGAGCTCAGCCTGAGTCCTACTGGCCATCTAGTCGCAGCCATCTGCCTGGGCATCATCGGAAGCCTGGGCTTCTTGAACAACCTCCTGGTCCTGATCCTCTTCTGCCGGAATAAAGTGCTGAGGTCTCCGATCAACCTGCTGCTGATGAACATTTCATTGAGTGACCTGATGGTGTGCATTGTGGGCACCCCTTTCAGCTTTGCTGCCAGCATACAGGGAAAGTGGCTCATTGGGCCAGCAGGATGCGTGTGGTATGGCTTTGTCAACACTTTATTTGGTAAGTACCAGCGTCCTCTTGGGCATCTTTTGAATAGCATGCTTTCTTTACTCCTGTGTGGCTCATGTGCTCTCTTGGACCTGTCTGCTCAGCAATTCTCCTCTGGCACTGCTAGCTTTGTGCATTTCCCCCCTTTCCTCTACTAAGTTTGGTGTCACATTTTTAGAAGAGTGTCCTTGACCACACTCCTGCACAGAGAGCCAGAAATACTAAAAGCAGTCTGAGTTGTGAAGAATAAGGATCCAGGAGAGACACATCACTTGCTACAATGCTTAAAAGTTTGTAATGGGATGAGAATTTGTAAAGAGTGACGATAGAGGAGATTGAGGGACACACCTATTTGTTGGCTGCTGGGTTAAGCATATTCTCAGGATTAAAAGTGATTCCCCCCCCCCGCACAAGAGAGGGAAAAAAGTTGTATACGAGAACCAAAAGCATGGATATTGGGCAGAGGGGGCAGTTTCCCTTTCTGGAATCCCAAACTGATTTAGTACAATGGTTACTGTGTTGTATTGGTACCTCCTGACCAGAAAAGTTCCTGTGGACACTCGTGACCAGATGTCCTGCAACCTGTATGGTCAAGGGGCTTCAGTAATTTAGACATTTGACAACACAGTTAAAAGTGTATGCACCGGAGGAATAGCTTTGGAGTGATGTGCCTGTCACTGATGCAAAAATTAGGTTTCTGGGACAGAGTGTGTTGATGTAGAAGCAGAAACAGGTTGAACAGCTGGGGAATACAAGGGAGCAGCAAATGGCTAGGGGATTGTATCTAGATTTTTTTAAAATTTTCTTTCTGGATATACAGTCCTCGGATTTGGTGATTGGCTGTAGCATTGCAAGTATTAAATGAAAGGGGCTTTAGAATGTGAGAAAATGAAGTTGTGATTCCTTATGAGAAACAGTTTGTAATTGCTCTGGATGAATAAAATAAATGGGACCAGGATGCTGAGACTTTAATATGGGGAGTAAGCTTCACCTGAAGACAACAAGATTCACTTTTGAGTAAACATATGTAGCACTGCACTATAATTGTCTGGGAGCAAAGTATGGATTCTGGGATTGATGCTGAAGTAGATGCACAAACTTATTTCATATACAACTATTAGGTGAACTAATATTATATAGAACTATCAGAAAAAAGGTAACATGTTTTTTGAGAATAGCAAGTATTTATCCCAGAGAGAGAAGAATGTGGACTGGAGTGCTTGTCCATCTAGGGTGGGAGGACCTCTTTTTAGTGGGATTACACACTGGAACGAATCACTCAGATGAACAACAATTGGAACAAAGTTCAGCACAAAGGTATGCATTATCTCACTAGGAATTATACTTGTATGCAAGAGTCATTTGTAAAAAGCTGTGAACTATGCAGCTATGTATGTAGTGTGCAATTGTATTCGAAAACAATTTTTTTAAAAGGATGACTGAATCTTGGGGAATACATGGAAAAACAATTCTATGTGTGTGTGTTTGCAACTATATACATACAGGTTTGCCAGTGGGCTTAAAAATCCTAGATGCCTATTCACAAACTGGTTAATAATTTGTTTGATATTGTTATTATACCATGTGAGGTCTACAGTCATTTTGACTACACGGTCCATAGTCCAATCCTAGAAGGAATGGAAAAGAGATCACAAGCAGAGGCACTCTCAAAGGCAACCATTTGAACTGCAAAACTGGGGAAAGAGCTGGGAAACCCACACACCAAACATCGAGGCTCTAGAAGAAACTTAATTTTTAAAACGGAAGAAAGGAAAAACAGCTCATGTTGAAAAATGGATCTAAGCTGTTACACCAATAGCTCAAATCGCCTGACTTTTGCAGGCCCTGGCAGGTAGAAATGTGGTATCTAGCTTTAATAAATTAATAGCCAAAGTCCTGTTGGTGTTCACATAAGATCTGTGTTATTTGCTGTGGCTGATTGCTGCTTACAGGTGAGTAGGTTGGGATGCATTTCAATCATATGCTGAGCTGGGCAACCGAGATTGTGCCAGTAATCAACCTTACTTGAACACCAGGAGGTTTCTGAACAACAATAATCAAAATAAGGAAATACTGATCTTCATAGTGATTATTTTTTACCACTATGAACTCTTTAAGAAGATGGGCATATAAACTTGTTGGTTTTTGCTTTTGTTGTTGCTCTACAGATTGTTCTCTAGCTATGTTACTATTCTCGTGTGTCTTCATTGCATATATATTCAGAAAAAAATTGAATAACAACAAAACCACATACACATGTAGATTGCATTTTGAAGAATGGACAGTGTATTTTACACACATTATCAGATATCCTTAGAAGAACAGTGCAATACTGTCACTAATGTCACTGTGCACATTATGTGCTGTCAGGTCACAACTGACTTATAATTACCCTAATAGAGTTTTCAAGGTAAGTGAGATTTTAATGGGTGGTTTTACCAGTGCTACTGTTCCCCAATGATTTTCCATGGCCAAGTGGGAGATTTGAACTAGTCCCAGTCAGTTACTCTATCCACTACACCACACTTGGTACAACTAGTATCATTGGCTCAGTATTTTCCTTACAGTGTAGGTCAGGTATGGGTGGCACAGAGAGCATATGTTTGCTCATGCAGTACATTAAATATCTGGAGGACCCAGTTCAGTGCTCTGTGCCTTAAACACACCCTGTACTAGTTCTGTCATGTATAAGACTTGTATGTTGGTATCAAGCAAGCAAGCACCAGCCACTGCATGATCCAACGCTGTCATTCCATCAACAGAACTGCTTCTTTCAGTCTAACCAGAAGTGGTTATTCTTTCCTGCAACCCCCTAAAAACTGCTGTGGAAAACAAAGAAGTCTGCAGTGGGGAAAGGGAAAATATTTTTGTCCAACAAATGGATATCTGCCCATAGAGTCTGGATTTAAATCATGATATGAATCCCACCAACAGAGATAAGATACTGGTTGAAATGTTTCCAAATGAGAGTTGTGGCATCCTGAATTTTGAACAAGTTTTATTTGGCCTACGTTTTCATGGACTGTAACTGGGTGAATAATTCAGTGAGTTGGGGTATCTGGCTGCAAAGTAAGATAGTATGAGTTCAATTCGACGCTGTGCATCCCAGGAAAAGAGCCTGCTTAGGTAGCCTTGGGCAAGCTGCACAGTCCCAGGACGCCCCCAAAAGAAGGGAACATTGAACCACTTCAGAGTACTGTACACCTAGAACACCTTGGAAAGAGCCACCACAACTTTGAATTGACTTGAAGGCACTTGATTAGTTAATTAAAATTCACAGACTGTAAACCATTTCTTCAGATATGTGGCTGCTGTCCCCAAAAGTTTAGGGCTAAATTGGAATATGGTTGGTTCAATACGATTGGCTCCTGTGCTTATAAATGCGACACTTGTATCGCCAAGGTATATAGTTATGAAATATGAACAGTAAAGGCACTCTGTGAAAGGGCTTCTTCTGATGTTTCTTTTGTACATGTCATGTCTTGGCTGGGAAACAACTTGACCCAGAAACTTCAAACGATTCATTAAAAACTCTTATGCAAAGTATCACCATTTCTTGGTTATACTTTATTGCTATAGTTCAGACATGATTGTAAGTACATTTTGCAAGTTATCTCATTAAAATCATGGGTGTTTGGCTGGAAGGCCTGGAGATTTGCAGCCTTCAAGATTTAATGCATTTAAGTGTGGTTTCCTGTCCCCCCCAGTATTTTCACTTGTGTTACATATAGACATAGAAAATATTACTCTTGGGATAACAATTACAACAACATGGCTGCTGAATTCTATGCATTATAATAAAAAGGATACATTTTCTTGTTTGTGTTAAGCTGGCATCAGTCATCAATCAAGTACTTGTAACATGAAATGGTTGCTTCAGTTGCATGATAATGTCAGTTGCATAGATTCCATGTGTTTGTTCTAGAGAACAACAGTTTTAGGATTTAGATGCACCACTTCCCCAATTAACAACTAATGCTGGGTAGTGATAAAGGTGGAACCAACAACAGCACATGGTATCATGCCATGTTCATATTGCCTAAATGACACATCTGTTAATGGCATGGACCTTTTTTGTTTATGATTCATCAAGTTGCATCTGACTTATAGCAAGCCTAATAGGGTTTATAGGTGAGAGCAGTTTAACCAGTGTTGTCCCATCAGAGAGTTTCCATAGTTGAGTGAGAATTTGAATCCAGATCTCTTGAGTCCTTGTTTGCCACCCTATCCACTATATTACACTGACACGTCCATTGACAGATCCAATTTCCTGGTGTTTTGCTTGTATAAATGTGGAAATCACACACAATATCCACTATTTTATTGTTATTCCTAAGCAGAGGATATTTACTGACTCAGCTGGATTCATAAGACTGTTAATTCACTACTTAACAATTAATATATGGAATCTAGATGGGATTAGATTCCATGCCATTGCATTCAAATAAAACTTTTTAAAAATTAATGGGATAGACAATATGCCTGAGTGAAAATTAATTTTTTTAAAAAATAAATGACTATGTTTTTAGTATTTTAAACTTGATGTACTAGTTTCCATTGGGTTGATCTGAATTTTGGCAGAGTAGCAGAGATTTCTAAGTAGACTGAAACCCAAGAGCCTCACTAGATGAAATGAAGAATTCATATCTCAAAGGAGTGCTCACTCAAGTGGTGGAAAAGTTGCGATTCTGAAAACCGATTAAAAGGAGAAGTGGCATTGTGTTAGGAGAAGTGATATGAGTGTCATGGGAGTTATTTCTGGAATGTTAAAAAAAAGAGACTTCCATTGCACATTAAAGCAAAGAGACACCTATAACAAAAAAAATATGCTATGTGGAAACAAAATTAGAACAGGAAATATATATTTTCTCTGAATGTGTAGCTTGCCTCCAAGACCCATTTTATTATTGGTGCCTTTTCTCTAAGCAATAGAATACTAAAATTTATAATTGCAGAATTGCATTTGTATCTCACCTTAACCAAAGGGGGTCTATTGTGCCTCTTTAATTTCT